CAGAAAATAAGCTCCCCCCCCCCATTTCTTAGGAGGGTCCTAACACTACGCACAGGGATACAGTCGCTGTATTCATGATCCCAACCGGCAGGGCGTTCATTCAGTTTAAAATACGACATTTATTTCTATTGCACTATTCAGGGGCTTCGTCATGTCCAATGAAGAATTATGTATCCATCCTCTCCAATGCAAAGTGATTTGCAAATCGAAAGGAAAGCCTTTTAAGAGAATCTCAATCCGCGTGCGTGCACCCATAACAAATGAAGACAACTGCTAGCTGACCGAGAACAAAATGGCGATAGCGAGCGACAGAGCAATGAAAATTTAAACTAATAGTGACAAATTAATTTTACAGATTGATTTAATTGTACCCGGTTACCGACTCTAAAGTGGAGGACCTATTTCTGCTATCATCGAGTGTAAGAAATATAGAATAGCCGAATGCACAATTTAATAAGGTTGGTTGTCGAAGACATTTTCGTTTCTCTATTTTTGTTTTTTTATGACTTCCTTTTTTATTCTTTTTTTTTTCCTCGTTCCTGAGATATGAGATTTTAAACGTGTTCCTATTCTTCTTATTCGCCTGCGTCTTTACCTTTGCGTTCCTCCTTTGCCACTCTCTTATTCATCGCTGCCTTCTACTTCACCTCCTCCTTCACATCTTCTTCTTCGTCTTCTTCTCCTCTTCCTCCTCCACGGCCTCCTCCTTTTTCTTATTCGCGTCGTCCTCTTCCGTCTCCTCCTTCGCTTACTCCTTCACCTCTTCCTACTTCTACACCTCCCTCTTCTTCTCTTTCTTCTCCTTTAACTCCTCCTACACATCTTCTTCATCATCTCCTCTTCCTCCTCCAAGTCCTTCTTCTTTTTCTTCTTCGCGTCGTCCTCTTCCGTCTCCTCCTCCTCCTCCTACTCCTTCGCCTCTTCCTACTTCTACTCCTCCCTCTTCTCTTTCTTCTCCTTTTTTCTCCTCCTACTACTACTACTTTTTTTCTCATCCTGATCATTTGGCTCCTTCGACTACTCCTTATTTGCCTCCTCCTTCTTCTTCACCATCTTCTCTTCCTCTTCCTCCTCCACGGCCGCCTTCTTTTTCTTCTTCGAGTCCGCCTCTTTCGTTTCCTTCTTCGCTTACTCCTTCGCCTCTTCCTACTTCTACTCCTCTCCCTTCTTCTCTTTCGTCTCTTTTTTCACCTACTCCTTCGTCTTCTCCTACTAGTACTACTACTTCTTTATCATCCTACTTATTTGGCCCCTTTGCCAACTCATTCTTTACCTCCTCCTCCTCCTCCTCCTCCTCCTCCTCCTACTACTACTACTACTATCACTCCTTCTTCGTCCTGCTCTTTTGTCTCCTTCTCCTTCTCCTCTTCCTCTTTCTCCGTGTCCTGCTTTTTTGTCTCTTTAATCACCTCATCCTGCTTCACCTCCACCTCCTCATTCTTTTTCGCGTCCGGCTCTTTCTTCCCTTTCTTCGCCTCCTCCTCCCCCTCTGCCTCTTTTTGCTCCTCATTTTTCTTCTTTTTTATATTCACGATCGTCTAATTAATTTAATTCGCGTTTGGAAGCCAGCAATTATCTGGCTTTCTTTGTTTTAAAGATATTTATATTCTTTGGATGGCTGTGATTTTAGAAGTTTTCTAACGAACCAAACTCAACACACACACACACACACACACACACACACACTTGGAGCACAAACTGTCGAAGACGGAAAGTGTCAATTTAAAAAAAAAAAAAACGCTTATAATTTTCAATACCTCTAAAAACTACATTCCCCACACCACCAACACCACCCAGTATAACCCGGATATTCTCCCGTCACAATAGACGATTACTCTCTGATGTGATGGAATAACCTGCCACCCCCATGAGTGGCGGCACTATAGGTGGTAACCACCTATAAGTGTCCGTTAGAAAAGTGCACAGTAAAGTTGAGCTGGGATCTGGGTTACCTCGTCGTGGTGTAATGGTTAAAACAGTTACGACTGAGTAGTGAGTTCGATTCTCACTGGGTGCCTCATATTTTCGGCCTTGTGCCAAATCTAAGCTACGCTTAGAAAATCTGGGGCACCTCGACGTGGTGTAATGGTTAGAAAGCTTGTCTTGCTAGATCAATTCCGACTGAGTAGTGAGTTCGATCCTCACTGGGTGCCCCATACTTTAGGCCTTGTGCTATATCTAAGCCGGGCTTAGAAAATTACGTTGGGCGCTTCGAGGTGGTGTAATGGTTAGCAAGCTTGTCTGGCTAAAACAATTACGACTGAGTAGTAAGTTCGATCTTCACTGGGTGCCCCATTCTTTGGGCCTTGTGCCACATCTAAGCTACGCTTGGAAAAAAAAAAGAGAGTCGAGCTGGGATCTTTCCCAGCTGCGCTAGTCGAACTCTCTGCCTTCGGACCGGGACAAGGCTATGCCGAAGGGCAGAGTTTCGTCCGGGGAGGTAGACAGACCCGATCCCGTTTATGCGGGGTCCACGGGGATTTTTTTGGCCGAGCCTACCGGCTCGGGAACTCCACATTAAACTCGGCCTTGTGCCACATGTGACTGCGTGGGGCAGTTACTAAATAGCGTCGAGTTGGGATCTGCGAGACGACTAGCGGCCTTCCGATAGCAGCACGGACACGACTGTACTGACTTACGACGATCGGGCGCATAAATATTACTTCCTTGCTTGTTGTACTGGTTTCTACAATAAACCTGTTACTATTTATCCACCGTGTTTGTCCATTCCGTATTCCTATTTGAACGGAATATAACATACTCCCATCGAGTCACCATACTTTGAACGCTTACTGGGAGCCAGATTCACCGCAGGCCTCGAAACTCGTGTATACTCTCCATAGCTAAATATGGAGACAAAATGATCGGATCCTGACTCTTTCTGTCATACTTAAGAAGAGTCAGTTTATTCCAAAAATGGACTGTTCTGTCGGCGGCAGATTCAGAATACGCCAATTTCACCTCTGCAGATGGGTAACTCCCACCCAGTGAATCGTCCTGGGTGTGACAATAAACTACATCCGCAAGCAAGGCCACTGATTAGGAAGTTTTGAGGAGCGTGGAAGCACCTCTTGATTGCTGTTGCTCGCAGGTCCACCCTTTCCCGGGGTTGTAGCACTTATTAAGGTCCCAACTATGGGCGAATAGTTAACTATAAAACACTATGAAAGTATAAAAATAGATTTTTATAGTAAATATATATATATATAAATATATATATATATATATATATATATATATAAAAATATATATATACAGAACAAAAATCTTCTTTACAAAAATACGTCAATGATACCTGATCGGCAAACTGATTTCTTGCAAAGAATACATATTCTATTAATACGAACCTATCCAAAAAATCTTGTCGGCATTAAATAACCCATTGAAGTTGATATGCCGTAAAACAAAATAAACCAAACAAATCTAAACCAAAGAATACATATTCTATTCATACGAATCTATCATATTCTATTCAAAATAAACCAAACCAATCTAAACGAATCTATTCATACTAAAAAATGTTGTCGATATGCCGTTAAATAAACCAAAGAATACATATTCTATTCATACGAATCTATCCTAAAAATGTTGATCATTAAATAACCCATTGCCGTATGCCGTAAAACAAAATAAACCAAACCAATCTAAACCAAAGAATATATATTCTATTCTAATTTATCCTAAAATGTTGTCGTCATTAAATAACCCATTGAGGTTGATATAAAACAAAATAAACCAAACCAATCTATATTCTATTCATACGAATCTATCCTAAAAATCTTGTCGGCATTAAATAACCCATTGAGGTTGATATGCCGTGAAACAAAATAAACCAAACCAAAAACCAAAATAAATTCCAAACCAAAAATACATTGAGGTTGATATGCCGTAAAACAAAATAAACCAAACCAATTCAACCAAAGATACCATATTCTATTCATACGAATCTATCCTAAAAATCTTGTCGGCATTAAAAACCCATTGATTGATTGCTGGTATCTGAATGGCAATATATTTTTTCCAAAAATATATTGCTGGTATCTGAATGGGTTATTTAATTCCGACAAGATTTTAAGATAGGTTCGTATGAATAGAATATGTATTCTTTGTAAGAAATCAGTTTGTAGATCAGGTTCCATTGTCGTATTTTTGTAAAGAGGATTTTTGTCAACAGTCAAATGTATTGCTAGTAATTTTTTTTACTATAAAAATCTATTTTTATACTTCCATTGCGTTTTGACCTCAGTTTGGGGTTAACTATTTGCCAATAGCTGGGACCTTAACAGATGCTACCAGCCCGGGTCAGGGTGAACCTCGGAACACTAGCAATTAAGAGGTGGTTCCACGCTCCTCAAAACATATCGATCAGCGACCTTCCTGCCGGATGGAGTTTATCGTCTTCCCCCCCTTGTTTATCGTATACTCGCAATTTCATAAGTTTTCTGCTATCGGAGTGGTCTTCATTTTGGGGTGACATTTTCATTCTGTACTTATATAGATAATGTTATTAGTTGGAACTCGATTTTTATATAGAAGAATAAAACCGTATTCTTCAGCGTTGTTTCGTCTGCTCGCACGGCGAATCGAAATGGAACATTTTTAGGCGGCACTGTGTTGTATTGTAATGCTAATCAATGGGGTCATAACACGAGAAAGGTCCTAGCGCCTTGTCCACGTTGTAATTCATAAAATATCCAGGACCGGGACGGGTTGGTGGGTGGCGGTTAGAGAAGAACTGATCAATAGGAAAGTGCAATTGTATGACGGAGGCTCCCAGTAGATGCTTTCTCAGATTTGGCAACCAATTCGACGAGATGGAGGAATTTAGGTGGAAATATATAGGGAGATGAGGCAAGTGGGCTGAGGTGAGAGGAATCGGAGGTTTGCTTATTTTGCGGGGGGTGGAGAGGGTTCGTTGTTTTGCTTTGCGCAGAATGAAGAAGGCGAAACTGTGGAATTTGGGCAAATAAAAGATTGACATGGAAAGGAACAAAATATGTATGTGCTTCGGAAGGATATCGGAATATTTTTGCCGTTTTCTATCTATCTATCTATCTATCTATCTATCTATCTCTTTGCGTTCATATGTATCTATCTATCTATCTATCTATCTATCTATCTCAGTCTATTTCTTTCTATCTATCTATTTAATTATCTATCTATCACAGTCTGTTCGAATCTCTCTCTCTCTAGATATATCACAGGCTGTTCAAATCTATCTATCTATCTTAGTCTTTTCATATCTATCTATCTATCTATCTATCTATCTATCTATCTATCTATCTATCTATCTTAGTCTTTTCATATCTATCTATCTATCTCAGTCTATTTCTATCTATCTATCTATCTTAGTCTATTTCTTTCTATCTATCTATCTATCTATCTATCTATCTATCTATATCTATCTATCTATCTCAGTTTATTGGTTTAGTTTAGTTTGTTTTACGGCATATCAATGTCAATGGGTTATTTAATGCCGACAAGATTTTTTATTGCTGTCATGCTTTTTATCTATCTATCTATCTATCTATCTATCTATCTATCTATCTATCTGTCTCTCTCTCCGTCTACAGACCTACCTATCACTGTCTGTTCATATGCATCTCTCTCTCTCTCTCTCTCTCTCTCTATATATATATATATATATATATATATATATATATATATATATAAAAGAACGGAGAAACCGAAAATGTTTTTTGGATGTAATCTGTATTCCATAATGGAAAATAAAGCATAATATATTTTTTTAAAATTCCACGTTACAACCAAAAACATTTGCAGTTTCTCTCTTTTTAATATACACACTTTTCTCTCGTTGGAACTACTATAACCTCTTCCTTTTTACACACACACACACACAAAACACACACACACACACATATATATATATATATATATATATATATATATATATATATATATATATATATATTGAAGATTGGATGGACGAAGTCCGCCTCCTAAATTCTGGAGTCAGGATGTTGACGGTAACATCAATCAGCTAAGTGACTAACTTTTACTTGTATTAATTCTCTCTCTCTCTCTCTCTCTCTATATATATATATATATATATATATATATATATATGTGTGTGTGTGTGTGTGTGTGTGTGTGTGTGTGTGTGTGTGTGTGTGTGCGTGTGTGCGTGTTTAGGCAGCATATCTTCATTTATGCATGTTTGGTTGAATAATCTGGCCATATTATGTCTATTTTTATTTTAATCCTCTCGAATTCACAATTTAGGGAAATATTATTTGACAATACAAGTATACTCCACCATGAAAATAAAAAACAAAAAATTCAAATTCATGAGACCCTCTATATGAGAAATATACAATCAACACTAAATAAGGTACAGCATCAATTTTTTTAAATATTTATAGCAGCAATATTTTAAAACGTTTAAATTGTACTTTGTTTAAAAAATTACAGTTATATAAATTAAAGTTACATACATTAGATAAAACGTAATAGCTGTAACAGTTTATTTTTAAATTAATTATAACGTTGTTCGTTCATACGTGTGTATAATTATAACAGAGTGCGTTTCTTCATGCGCATTTACAAAAAAAATCACAAATATTAACGTTATTAATTCATTTTTTTTATCTTAGCAATTCACTCTTGAAGATGATCTTGGATGAGATTAAAAGTACTAAGGTGCCTTCCTTAATGAATTTAATAACATTAAGAAGTTGATTCGAGAATTCGAGAGGATTAAAATAAAATAGACATAAAATGTACAGATACGTGAATGAATACATATATATATGTCTACCTATTTACCTACATAACAATCTATCCGCCTATCATAGTCCGCTTATATCTATCTATTTACCGGTCTGCCTGTCAATCTACTTACATACTTACCTGTCAATCACAGTCTGTTTCTATCTATCTATCTATCTATCTATCTATCTATCTATCTATCTATCTATCTATCTTATTCTATTCATATCTATCTATCTATCTATCTATCTATCTATATATCTATCTCATTCTATTCATATCTATCTATCTATCTATCTATCTATCTATCTATCTATCTCAGTCTGTTCATTATCTATCTAGCACTGTCTGCCCATGCCTATCTATCTATCACTGTCTGCTTATATCTATCTCATGATCTCTCTCTCTCTCTCTCTCTCTATATATATATATATATATATGTGTGTGTGTGTGTGTGTGTGTGTGTGTGTGTGTGTGTGTAGTTTGTTCATATCTGTCTGTCCTTCTACTTATCACACTCTGTTTATTATCACTATCACGGTTGATCCAAAACTGTTCATATCTATATATCTACATATATATCTACACACACACACACTCATATATATATATATATATATATATATATATATATATATATATATATATATATATATATATATATATATTTAAAATGTGAAAATATATTTAATATATTTAATATGTGAAAATATATAGAAAATAGGAAGGAACTGGTTAGGTAAATAATCCAAATTTCTATAGTATTTTAGTTATTTTTTTTTTTTAAATAGTGCTCGATACAAAAGTAGAGCATAAATATAATTATTTATTTAAAAATATTTATTTAAGAAGTTGCAATCATATTTTTAAATAAATAATTATATATATGTGTGTGTGTGTGTGTATCATTCTCTTCATGTCTATTCACCTATTTGTCTGTCTATCTTACTTTCTTTCTTCTTTTCTTTCTTTCTCATTTCTTCTTCTCCATCATTTTCTTATTTTCTTTCTTCATTTTATACTTTTTTCTCTTCTTTTTTCTTTCTTTCTTTCC